AATATTCTACACCCTACTTTCAAGTGTATAAGTCACGGGGTTTTTTCTACCGACCAGCCCGAACACGCCAAGGGATTTCGCAGTCAAAATAACGTGCTGCGCATCTCTTGAAAGGATAATGCGGACACGGATCGCTTTCTGAAACACAGTGAGGTGGCTGAGTCAGCAGCTCGCTTGAAAGTTTGAAAAAGATATGGCTTATACACCACCTGAAAAAAGGGTAAAGTTCCGCAAACTCGAGAAGCATTGACCTGGAACTATGTGACCAGGCCACCCGCTTCCGAATTGACAGCTGTGGCATTTTTCCGTACAAGCGCTTTCCGTTATCTTGAAGAAGAATTGAGAGCCTTTACGCTTATCAGAGTATTCGAAGATCATGACAGCAGCGACGCCTTTGAGAATGCTCAGATCTGTTAGCTTCTAGCCATCTTTGACCTTTTCATACAATTTAGGTCTCGAAAAACCTACGAAGAGATTTCCCCAAGCAAGAAGAGGGTCATCTTCATGATCAGGGTGTCAGAAAACGCCTATAGGCCAAGTCTCAGCGAATTTCGTGTTTTTGCCCTCGTACCTTATACTTATCTTAAACACATAGAGAGGCATTTTTCTGGGCAAAGATGTGATATAAGTGATCAGCGTGTCAGATAATCTCGTTCGGCCAAGTTTCAGCCAAATCTATGGTTTTGACCCCTGCTATATCTACCGAACTTCACAAGGAAACGGTTTTCTGCGGAAAAGATGTGATAGCCGATGTTATCAGCTTGTCAGATAACCCACTTGGGCCAACTTTTAGCCGTTTTTACGCGAAAAATTTTTGGGATTGAGACGAATAGCACCAAAACCGTATTAGGCCCTGACCATAACTCACGCGATTTAGTCACCACGCGATGTGCAGCGAGATTGTCTTCAAATCGGCACAGAAAAGACACACTCTGCACTTTCCAAGATTTATAAACTGCCCTATCCCCTCCACATCAAAATGCGCGCACGATGGTTATGGACATTTCGGGTATTGCAAAGACGTCAAAGACGTCGCGTCTGAAATCGCATGAGGTATGGCCAAGACCTAATGAAAATACAGAGGCTTGCTCGAAATTGCCTTGATTTGAAATTCCTTCGCAGTAGGTAATTCTTAGCCTTGATTATCTCATTATTTCTATTGAATTTGCCATTACTTGTCTGTATTCAGTTTTTCAGCTAAAACCCGAACAATGCATGTTTCTTGATGATCTCGGAATTAATCTCAAAGCGGCGAGAGCTTTGGGAATAACAACAATCAAGGTAAAACATAAAAATAGTCTTTCTTCAACATAGCCCAATTTTCAGGTTACTTCTCCACCTGAAGCAGCTGACGAAGTGAGGAATGCTTTGCGAGGTCTATTCAAGCTTCCATAGTCAATGCGAAGAGTAGGAGAGCGATACTGTGCATATTATGAAACTTTCAAATGATCTTCAAACTCTCAGAAAGGCAATAAGCAGATTAAATCTTAAGATTTTCTCCTCATCACACACAACACCCAAGTTACCTATCGCTCCTATACACGGAAACCAGCAATTTGAGTTAGTATCACTTTTTTGCGGGCTTTCGTAAACTGGCGCCAATTCTGCACCATGATTCTGCAAGCCTATTAGTAATGGTAGGGTAGTAGCCTCATATGGGTATTATATGGTAATTGAAGCTGAAGCTTGTATGCTGTGTGAGACGGAAGCGCTAATCCTACCTTTCTTGCCCATGGCCTCAATCTCTGCAACATCTTTTTGTGGAATTATTCTTAATGAAATGTTACTGTGCCATCACAATTCGCCTGTTGTCACGGCATGGCAACACTCAAGTGCATCCCCGTCGAAGAGCTTGTCCCTCCAACGCTGACTCAACTCTGTCCTCCCCACCGTCTCTTCTTACCATTCATCATGTGGATGATGATGGGGGCAGATTCTGAGATCGTGAAACGTACCCCTCTCATACTCTCTTCACACCCACATCGATTCGGACAGATAATTTCGGACAACTTCTCCTCAAACGATTAGTATTTGTCCAGCAAAGCGGAATCTGTCTCCTTGAGAGGTGTCACACCCGGCTCACCATCATCGCTGTATGTGGTCTGTTTTCCAGGTGGAAACCAGGAATCAGTCTAAAATTGAGATTTGCAAAACCTCTTTCTCAAAATTAATTGAAGAGCTGCAATTTGCTGGATGGACCGTCTTTGCGGACGAGCCAGAGTCGCCATGGGTGACTGAGGGCTTCCATACATGCGTCTTAACAGGGTTCTCG